GGAGGAGAAACAGAGCAGAAAGAGGCAGAATCTTACAAAAGTTGGCCAGCTTTCCTCCAACTGGAGATGAGTCCAGATGTTTGCTCCTGGAGACCAGGTCCAGCGGTGTGAAGCAGAGGCGCTCTCAGTCTGGTTATATACAGGGCTGTGTGACTGGGTGGGGAAGACCATTTCTAAGGACCCACTTTGTCAGACAGATGTAAACAAGGACACCACTAGGGGACAAACAAGGGGTCATTCACCTTTTCCTGGGCATGATGGGGTCAAACATTAACTGCCTGGTGGGGCCGATGTTTGCTCAGAGACAACAATGTTTGCTAGGCATGGCCTTTGTACCAAAGCCACCTCTTTACCGATGTCCATGGTCCTTACCCTTCCCATGGTAGGACTGAGGTCTCATTCTTCATATGCCGTGGAATGATGCAAAAACATGTTATCTCTGACCTTAAGGTCAACTTTGGAAGGAGTCCAGAGGAGAAGTGAGGTAGCTGTGCTCCCGTCCTCCTTCCCAGCATTTCCTGGCTCATCTTCCTGTCACCCATCCACAGGAGACAGAACCTGACTTCCAACCTGATCCAAACCACATAAAGAAGGCAGTGTGTCCGTCCCTCTGCCCTGCTTCTGAGGAAGACCATGACTAAGCAGTAGTAGATAAGCCACGCGTCAGATTTCCTCCACCCACAAAGCACACAGGGAGGGAGCAGAGAGCTTTCTGGAATCTTCAGGACTGGACAGAGGGCTCGGCTACAGGCACAGACAGCTCTTCAGAGGACCCAGACCCAGTTCTCAGCATCCACGTGGCAGTTCACAGCCATCTAAAATGATACATTTTTCTGGCTTCCCTAGGTATGGCATATGCCTTGTACCCAAACATACATGCAGGCAAAATACCCCCACAGAAAATAAATAAGTATATAAAATGTAAAGAATTGCTGTACACTTGTCTTCCGTGTAGGGCAGGATTGAAACAGTTTAGCTTTGTCAGTTTCTATATTTTGCTTCATCATTTTGTATAGATATTTGTGTGTCATTTAAGCTGCATTTATTTCTAAATAAGTAGGGAAAAACACCTACAGGTTGACGACGAGGGAGGAGAAGTGCAGGCAAGCAGCAAAACACCTTTCCCTACATGAGAACTCTGTTGGGGATATTTTGAGTGAGTCTGGGCATAAGAGCTAGAGCCATGAGCTGACTAACTTGCTATAGCAGAAGGAAGAAGATGCATGTCAGCATCATCTCCAGACCCACTCAGCGGGGCTCTTCCTCTGTGTAGCAGGAACAGAACCCCCTCAGGAAGCTCAGATGGGAAAGAGGCACGCGGGCAGCATCAGGACCCAACTTGCAGGCATGCTCACACCTGGCCTTGGGTGGGATGGTTCTGGCTTTACTTCAGGTTGGTATAACTGAGAAAACAGGCAATCAGTTTTCCTTTGAGGGTTAATCTCATTGTCTATTCATTAGGTGGAACCTTCCCAAAAAAGAATATTTGCTTACTAATTTCTGTATTCTTCATTACTCGACACCCAAGTCCCCATCAACTGACCTAGAGCCTCTAGCTGTGCAAACTCCCTGCGCTTCTGTTTAAAGGTTCAGAGATGCGAGATTTCGTAGCAGTTATTAAATAAAGCTTGATGGCTAAGTAGAGCGAAGTCTGGCTAGGGAGGCTGGCTGATACTCACCCTGGGGGCTGATGAGGCCGTCCGGGTGTGGCCATTGATCTGGGAGTGCTCTGTTGTTGCCTGCAAAAAGTTGCTGAAATCGCCTGATTTGCCTTTGCCAATGAAGTATTGTTCCCAACTACAGTGTAAAATCTTTCTTTAAAAGCTCATGTTTTTAATCCTAGCACTCTGTGAGTATGAGACCAGCCCAGTCTACAATACTAGTTCCAGGACAACCAGGGCTACACAGAGAAACCCTGCCTCAACAAACAACGATAAAGAAGCTGCCCAGAATGTTCTCAGCCCAAGCTCAGCCCATGGGACACGCAGCCCACGACAGCTTGAGAAGGTGGCATGGGGATCTGGAAGGTTTGTGTATTCCTTCCCTTCCTCTCCCCACTCCTAACCCAACTCTGCCTGTGATCAGATGACCAGCAAGCTATGCAGCCTGCCCTCTCTCTGCCCTGGTGACTTGAGGGTGCTAGAGTCTCTGGAAAGGAAGGCACAAGCACACTTCTGACCACAAGCACACTGCCCTGCCCCTGTGACAAGTGCTCTGCCAAAACGTAAAGTGTTTCCAAAGTACAGAAGCAACAGCCTGGGGACCTTCAGGGTGAGACCCGTGCTGCTATCCGGCGGGGAACTGGTGACGGAGGAAGGGAACCGATGCGCTCAGTGTGCAAACTTACTGTGTATGGCGGTGCCTGTTTTAAATTAATCCCGCATCACTCTTTCAACAGATGTGGAAGAACTGAGTTCTGGAGTCATCAACCACTCGTTTGTTCAGAGAGAACAGCCAAGCGCATTGCAACATCCTGATGGCCTCATTGTCCCTCGGGGGTGGGAGGAGTACCAGCCAGCCCCCACAGCCAGGGATGACCTCCGCGAGGCCCTTTCCTGCTGAACAGTCACAAAAGCAGACGCCAGACCCTAACCCGCAGCAAACCCACAAACACAAACCTCCTTGCCCGACAGACAGACCAGTCTCCCTTTCGGGAGCCGTGTTAGTGTGCTGAGCCGCCAAATGCCTTCTCTGAAGTCGCTGGCCCTTCATCTGACCACTCAAAGGATTGAGAACCTGCTCAATTCCCTGACAAAAGCCAGGCCATTTTTTTTTTCCAACTTGGCACATATTGAAACAGAAATGGGTATTTTTTTTAAAGTTTTCTATTTTATTAAGATGCAAGGTTTTATAGCCTAGGAATGTTAAAGTGTGTGTGTGTGTGTGTGTGTGTGTATGTGTGTGTGTTGCTAGGGCTCAGACCCAGGGCTTTGCACGTGCTATGGTAGAGTACCGACTGAGCCACATCCCTGGGCCTGAATATTTTATCTTTGTCAGTAATTTTAACTCACATGAAACAACTGCCAATTTAAAAAAGCATTCATTAAAAAAGTTTTAACCAACCAGGTAGTGGTGGTGCATGCCTATAGTCTTAGCACTTAGAAGGCAGAGGCAGAGGCAGGCAGATCTCTGTGAGTTAGAGGCCAGCCTGGTCTACAGAGCAAGTTCCAGGGCAGGCTCCAAAGTTTTAACCTCCTGAAAACCATTCTCCTTTCCTGGAATTTTTAACTCTCTTCTCCAAGCCAGTAGTATCCATGGACACGTGCTGCATGAAATTCTCCCTCCAAGACATTTCTCCCTTTAGATAGAGTGTATGTTTGATTCTGTTCTTCGGACTCATTGTAGGGTCAGGTGGGGAAGATATGAGAAAAATGTGTAAATTCCTGTACAACGCTAACTTAGCACAATCAACGATAGAAGTAGCTGAAAAGAGAAAAGCCCACAGGACTAGGGATTGAGGAAGTGGGGGCTCCACTGGTTGAGGGAGAATGGGAACAAAGTCCTGAAGACTTCCCTGAATCTCCAAACAAGATACAAATTAAACATTTACTTCCCCATACACTGGGCTTTGGCCTATTCCTGACTTCCAGTTATTCTCAGAATACCCTACAGAGATTGCACTCTGCTCAGTATGATGGGAAATCTCGAGAGATGTTTACCCAGCCTGCGTCAGTGCACTTTTTAATCCATGTTTGGGTCACACTAACAATGCCGCCACAAACCTTCCGTGGGACGCAGAGAGAACGGGATGAGAGGGGGGCTCGTGGGGAGCTCTGCACCCCACAAAGCTGAGACCCTGATGAACTGATGACTTTTGCAGGCCCGTCTCTGACCCTGGCCATAGCTAGTCCGCTTTTTCAAAACACTCCCCTCCCCCCGCGTTAAACTACAGGTCAAGTCCACAGTATCCGAACCCGTGTTACGACACCGCACCACCCCACGCAATCAAGACGGGAACAGGGAAGCCTGGGATTCTCCCAACTTTCGTTTTACAGATGTGGAAATTAAGAACAGGGAAAGAAAGGGACGTTAATTGACCAAGAGAACTTTTGCATTCCTGTGACGGAATGATTTCTAGAAAAGTCAAAACTAACTTTTAAAATAATACTAAAAATTAGTTAAAGGAAACCAACACTGATTATTTCCATAAATCTCCCAAACATTTGAATTCCCCTTTCATCAAAGGGAGTTTTTGAACTAACTCGGAGTGGTGCTACACTTTGAATAGCTGCAGGGAGTTGGCCAGGGCCTGTTCAGATAGACGACTGAGCTTTCTAGCCAGTGTGAACGAACAGTAAAAATTGCTGTCGCCACAAAGGGAAGACCCTGGCCTACTGCAGAAGTCCCAGTTAAGGACAAAGATACTACACAGCCACGGTTTGATGTGCTTTATCAGAGCAAGAGAATCCCAGCCGTCCTGTGAGAAGGCACGGACTGGGGAGGCTGTTGACACTCATCTCCAAAAGTTTCACAGCACTCTTCAGGCGGGAGACAGGAAATAGACAATGAAAAACACCAGTCCTCAAATGTTAAGTTCTGCGTGCACAACCTTGACAGCTTTTCCCACAAATATGATTCCAACCTAGGAACACTCAGGTCTTCCTTATCCGAGCAAACGCGCGCTCAGGTAAGATAAGGGTTCCTGGCACTCCCCCCCCCCCCCCCCCCCCCCCCCCCCCCCCCCCCCCCCCCCCCCCCCCCCCCCCCCCCCCCGCTCTCCGCAGATTCTGTGGTCCCTTCTCAGCCTTCTCTGCCAAGCTGGAAAGGGAACAGTGCAAAGGGGATCGCCAACTCTGGCAAGAGCTGATGCCCACCACACCTCAGCTCCGCAATCAGACCCGAGAACGGGCCTTCCAGGACCCCCACACCGCCCCTGGATGGACCCCAAACCGCCCCTGGGGTTTCCTTAGACAAACCGCTCCTGGAAAAACTATCTCCATAGTTTGGAGTAGAAACCCACACGGGCGCGGAACTGTGGAGGCGGCGACTTTGTTTCTCACCTTTTTTTCCTAGTGGGATGCCGAATAGGAGAACTGCAATTTCCCCTGTAATCTCGTCCGAAATATGGGTGAGGTCGATGTAGCCCGGCCACGCAAACAGATTGGAGCCGGGTGCAGAGGAGCGGAGGGTGGGCGTTCCAGGCTCGGTGGCTGGGACCGCACCCCGTCTCTGCAAGGACGCCCCTCCCTGCTGGGCAGAGGAACCAGACAGGCAGGCGTGCCGAGGACCAATCGAGGGGGACCCCACCCCGGGAGGTTGGAGGGGAAATCTAGAGCTGACGGCCGTCTTTCCTTTGGAACAGAGGCCGGCGGTGCGGTCCTCTTTGGCTGGGTGGTCAGAGAAAGAGAGTTTGTAGATAAGTTAACTACAGGGGAATTATTTTCAGGATGTAAAGAAAGGTTGTAAAATTGGGCTCGTCCGGGATTTGAACCCGGGACCTCTCGCACCCAAAGCGAGAATCATACCCCTAGACCAACGAGCCTCGGTGCTTCACAGCAGTTTACATTCTGTCCATCCTTCGGCGCTCAACTGTGGGACGCGCCAGTGTTTCTTTTTTTCTTCTTACGGGAACATTTTCTTTTGTGTTGTTTAATTTCCACCCCATCTTTCTCAACTCCCACCTATGAATTCTGGGTCTATCCCCTCTTGTTCTCTATCTACGACCACGACAGCTCCAGGCTCAGCATGGGATCAGATTTCAAGTCACACGCCTGTTTTCCCAGGCGCCCGAAGCGAGCCGGGGTGGCGCAGCCGGCTCCGGGTGGAGCTCCGACTGGCGCAGGACGTGTTCTGCAGGCTTGCGACCTCCGCTGCGCAGCCTCGCTGGCCGGAGGAGAATCGGAGAGAATACTGCCGACCCTCACAAGAACTGCGTCTTCAATTTCATTTCCTTTGCTGAACTTTATACTCTTCCAGTCTCATCTCCGACAAATACCTAAATGAATAAAAGCGCTTCTCTGCCAGTTGGGGGGTGGGGGCAATCACCGCGGTCAGTTCTGGGTTTTGTTCCGCAAATCAGAGTCCTTGCGGGCCAGCAGAGCACTGAAAACGTGCACACAAGCGGGTCCGTAGGTTCTGAACTTAGGACATAGGGCGGCAAATTAGGCTCAGCTAGAAACTAAAAGTAAACAATAAAACGCGAGCCAGGAGCCAAAAGCAGCGATGGCCGCCGGTTCTGAGGATTGTTAGGAAGGAGCGGGAACAGAGGACTAGAGTTAACTAGGGAAGCCCAAAATGCAGGCTACTCCTTCGAGCCGGAATCGAACCAGCGACCTAAGGATGGCTGTTGCAGACACTACAGTCCTCCGCTCTACCAGCTGAGCTATCGAAGGGAAGCACAAGAGTGCGTGTTCAGAAAGCGGCTTTCAGTCGGCAGACAGCCACTTCGCCGCCGCAGGGACGACTCAGCCAACGCTCCGTGGGTGTCAGCCTACCCGGCACCCGGACCCCGCCAGTCTGCGAGGTGGGACGGCGTGGGATGCCACGACAGCTAGGAATTCCACCCAGGGACTGGAGGCGTGGCTTGGTAGCGCGGTTACCCAACGTGAGATTTTCCAAGTTCAACCTCAGGTCCTAAATGTAAAAAAACCAAACCAACAAAAAACAAAAACAAAACAAAACAACAACAACAACAAAAAAAAAACCCTCTCCTTGGAGAGAAAGCATCTTTTAAAAGGAAGCCATAACCACAGCATCTTTGAGTTCTTATCAAGGTTTGGTGACCAAAGTCTCACCTCCAAACGGCGGCGCTTTATTTGCTGCGCGAGACAGTGAAGTACGGAGATCCCCCGGCCTCCACTTCTGTGCCGACTTGGCCTCCCCTCACAAACCCCTTCCTCCCTACTCCCTCTTTCCCTTCCCCTCGCACAGCCCGCCCGGGGTCAGGCCTCCCATCTCCCCGTTCCACACCCGCGTGTCACGCGTGGCGGACTGTCGCGGAGCGCCTCAGGGAGAATCAAAATAAGAAAGATTCTTTAAAAGATTTCTTGAGCGCAGGCCCCAGCGAGATTTGAACTCGCGACCCCTGGTTTACAAGACCAGTGCTCTAACCCCTGAGCTATAGGGCCACACGAAGATACCTTGTCTTTCTTTCTTAGAAAAGGATAACTTTGCTGGCTCCTTGGCCGCCCGACTGTCTGAAGGAAGACCATTACCAGACACGGTATATTCCTGTATACATTCCAATCCCATATACAGTATGGGAATTTAGTCTACAGACTCTGGGCTTGTTGGAACTGGCACAGTAGTGTAGTGGATTCTGATGGGGAGCACTACTCTGATAAATTTGAAGAAATGTCCCCACCACCACCGCAGCAACAGAGTCCTCCTCTCGGGCTTCCTTCTTCTGACGGTGAAATTCAAAACAGAAATCCAGCGCAAAGAAACAAGTCTGGGCGGAAACGGACGCTTCCACATCTGAATTTACCCCTCTGCCTCTTAAAAGATCCTTCCCCTCAGCGTCAGCACAAGCAAGCGCCAGGTCGCCTTTTAACTCATTCCTTCATTCAAGAAGCTCCCAATTCCTAGTCTGTGCTACGTTCTACACTAGAAACTAGACAGGGGTTCAGACTCTATCATTAGTAATTTTACTTCACTGAGAATTATTTTATTTCTCATACTTCTTTGTGCACCACGTGGGTGCCTAGTGTCTGTGGGAATTTTTATGAAACCAAAATTAAAAGCAAGTGTACCAAGTGTAACTTGCAAGTAAGCCATTTGGAGGGCCCTTAGAAGGGGTGGACTAAGTCTCAGGATAGGGAGAGGCTGAGATTTGTACAGTCGGGGCTGTGGGGTATCAGACGGTTCCGGGCAAAAGAAAATTATAAATAAAGTTCAAGAAAGACCAGATTATTAAAGGGTACATTGTTAGAACATGGTTGGTCCACACTCCTCGAAGGGACAAGAGCTGAGGTGGTTAGGAGAAAGGAAGGACGTTAGACCCTTTGGAAAGAGAAGACAGAAATTCACCATGCATGGAATGCAAAGTAAACGGAAGGGAGGAGAAACTAGAGAGCCGGGACACCAGAGTCGGGCGAGCACATGGCAGTGGCAGCTGCGGACTCAAAGGAAAGAAAAGAGACACAGACAGGGAAGCGAAAGTCTGCTGCTTTAAATACGGTGGACAGAGTGCAGAGGAGACGCTCAATCATACCTTGATACTTGTAAAAGGAAAAGCAAAAAAAAAAAAAAAAGCCACATTTTCAGGATATCTGGAAAGAAGAGAGGTGCAGAAATATCAGGGTTCGGGTGGGATAAACAGGAGGTGCAGGAGCTCTTCACCGGACACGCCTGTGTTTAGAGTCCACCAACTAAGGTGCTGAGACTAAATTATGTCTGGGAGTAGAGCTGAACGGTGGAGCTCGTTCCTGAACTGCAGCGTCTTGGGTTCAATGTCCAGGATCACAAAAATAAATAAAATAAAATAATAAAAGTTAAAAGGAATAGTAGTTTTCATCTGTAAACCTGACTGTAGGGACTGGGACCTGAGACTCCTGAGATCAGGACAAGCAAGCCAAGGACAAACACAAAGCAAGACGCTGCCTTGATCAATCAATAAGTAGAAATTAACTTTCCTGGCTGGCCTGGAACTCGAGGAAATCAGCCTTCCTTTGCTTCTGCCTCTATTACACCTGACTCTACAATCAGCGTGCTTCTCTTTAGAACATTGATCTGGGTTTGCATCTGTATGGGGCCTTTGAGTGCCCCAGCTAGAGTGTGAAGTCAAGACCAACCTTTCACCAAGTGAATTCCAGGGATTAAAAACCTCAGTCTACAACCCATCTTGCCACCCCCACCTCAAATTTTTACTATTATTATTGCTGTTGTGTTTGTGTCTGATAGGTTTGAGGGAGTCGGAACAGCTGAGTGGAATCAGTTTTCCTTACATCTTTATTTACAAGTATTCTGGGGTCCCAAACTCAGCTTGCTGGGTAAGCAAGCCAAGTATAGACTCACCAAGCCATCACAAATGCCCGAAATTTAAAATAAAATAAAGAAGTTTGAATCCTACAGGTCATCCACTAAGTTAGCACTTCTAAGAAGTCTATAGGCTGGAGAAGCTCATCGGTTAAGAGCACCTGATACTCTTGCTGAGAACCCAGGTGCAGTTCCCAGCACACACACGGTAGCTCACAACTGCTCTAACTCCAACTTCAGGGAACCAGCGATCTCTTTCAGCCTCTGTGCACACTTCATGCACATATTCTTGCAGCCTTGCACATGTATCCATAAATAAAAGATAAATATCTTTTTTCTGTTATGTACTCTTGAAGGAAGATGGGAAAGTGCCACTGGTAGAATCTCTGAACTGGGTGTTTCAAAGAACAAGACACCTGTGCACACAGCAACAGTAAATTCCTTTGCCTGAGGAGAAGGAGAGATTCAGACACAGTAACAGTTTCCTAGTCTTAAGGACCTGAGCGACTGGGAGCCAGACAGATTTCTGATAGCTAGACAGGGGAAGAGGGCACAGATAGTAAAGATGGCAAGCTTCTAGTTTCTTCGTCATCTTCTGCCCACCATGTCTCTCCTTCTGTTTGACCAATCCAGGCCAGTCAGTCAGATATGTCCAAGACCAGTCTTGATATGGAAGTTCAGGGTCTATCAGCAGTACCCCCCATACCCCTTGTTTAGGCAGATCAATATAAAACAAGAGGAAGGGTCCCATCCCATGCCACCAAAACAACTTAAACTTCCTAGCCTTCCAGGGGAAAACAGACCAGTTTCTGGATCCCCTTCTCCATTTTGTGGGAAATGTCTCCTGTATATGTGCCCCACTGTTTCCCCCCCAATCCGTCTGTGTGCACAATGCCCTCGTTCTCGTCTTCACGTTTAATACAGTCTGTTACCTGTTGCTGCCTGCTGCGTCTGAGATTTTTCTACCTTTTAATTCTTTAATAGGTGGAGGAAAAGAACCGGATCCTGACCCCTAGACAATCTCAACTGTTTGCCACAGAGAGGTAAGAAAGGATCAGGGACATACACAGCCTCCAGACTTATTGCCTCTTTGTGGAAATTTGCCTCCAAGTATAGAGTTTAGTCAAATGGAAGATGTAATTTGAATATCACCAGGGAGCCACAATTTCCTTTTAAAGAGAATTCGTTCAAACATTCCCCAATCCCAAATCCGGCGGTTTGCTGGGATAGTC